GGGCTTCAGACAGAGCAAGTTCAGGTGGGAAGGGGAATCTGACGGCAGCCAGACACTGACCCCAGGAGCTGCCAGCAGGCTGGAAGGAAGAGATGGAGGTTGAAGGGACAGCCCACATGCCCTCTCACCCAAGCCTCTCTCTCAACTGTGGGGGCCTTCCCCTCCATAGACCCAGCAAGTTTTGGCAACAACAGGCTGGACTGGGGCCTCTGTCTGCTCAGCTACGATAAAAAGCAAGGAATCAAAATCCCTCACCATTTTCCTTCCTTTCTAGACCCCATTTCCTCAGAGAAGTTGGGTGGCCTCGGCAAGAACCCCTTCTGGCTGCAAGCCCAGTATACTTTCTTTTCTCCAAGCTTTAACTCAGATAAACCTTGCCCTGGCTCCCCCTTTCCTGGGACTCCCGGAGGAAGAAGCATTGCCTGGAAAAAACACTCTCACCATGAGCTCCCTGTGGCTGGGAGAAAGGCAGAGAGAACAGGGAGCACGTCCCCGGCTGGCCACAGTACCAGGCTATGTTCCAGGAAGAGCAAGAGCAAGAATGCCTGCCAGGGAAGTCTCTAGCCCTCAACAATGGCCTCCCTCAGGGAGACCACCATCTCCTCCCCTGCAAAACCTCAGCTCTTTCCTGACACGTAGTAATTTTCTTCTTATATAATACCTTGATGCTCCCCATGTCCTGCTCATAATTTTAATTGGTGAAAGAGTCAAAGTGGTCTTTGGAGGAACAACCCCCAGCCCCAGCCCCAGCCCCACCCAAACCCCCATCGAGGTCACTCTGGGAGGCTTCAGGTGAAGCAAAGACAAGGGGACTTTTCTCTAAGCTGAGAGAGCAGCTTTCCTCCCGCCCACATGAGCAGTTCAGCCTGGGGCCTGGGTGGGTAGTCTCCCAGAGCACAGTCTGATCTCTGGGAAGATTTAACCCTCAGCTGCAGGGACAGAGGCCCTCTCAAAGGCACACAGGCACCAGGGTCTGGGCTGGTCTGGGCCGGTCTGGAGGGGAGTGGATCACATAATGTGCCAAGGGCCTAAGGAGTTAGAAAATAAACTTCATTTACATAGCCCCAATGGCCTGGAAGAGGCTCTCCTACCACAAGCGAGACATTCTTCATTTTCTCTTCCCTGGTGGGGCAAAAGGCGAACAAGAGCTGGACCTGGTAGGAACTGGTAAAATGGTAGCTGCCATCTGTTGATACCTACTATGTGCCAGTCACTTTGCATGCATAATCTTGTTTAACTTTCACAGCCTATGAAGCACTATCATTGTCCCCATTTTACAAGTGAGGAAACTGAGCCCCAGGAAGTTAAGCAATGCCCAAAGTCACACTGTAAGTGAAGAAGCTGGAATATGAACCCAGGTCCACCCAGGCCTCATTCCCACGTACCCACCAAGCTTCCTTTAGTCACTGCCAGGGTGACTGTCCACACACCATCCAGGAATGGTATTCTGAGTGTGGGGGCAGAATGGGTGTGGATGAGTTTTGCTTGATGGCTCTGGAATCTGAATTGATCCCCCCACTAACTGTTATTGCTCCCAAATGTGTGATTGTGAGAGCCCATGTGTGGTGGGGTGGAGGGAGGGTGATCTGGATTCCAAATAGCAGTTTCCAGCACCAATGTTATGCTGTAATGCTTCTGATTCATAAAATGAGCTCACAGTCTCACGGTATCCTGAATGTTGCTTCGAATGCAAATGCAATCTCTTAGTAAGAGCTGGGGATTTCAGCCTACTCCACCTAGCCCCAGCCCAACCTGCAATCTCATTCAGCCTCACACAGTCAGAGTTCTAACATGTATAAGAACCCCTCCAACAGAAGGCAACTACTGGCTGCACTTCCTGAAGCATGCAGTGAATCAGGGAAGAACAGAGCTCTTGAGGCTGGTTCTGGACAGATGCATGGGTACACACATAGGAAGTCTACCAACCTAGTCTGGCCAAAGGAAATGCCCAGATTAGCAGATCCCAGGGCAAGTGGCTCCACAACTGTCTTACCCTGAAGTCCCCTTGGGTTCAAATCAAGATGACTGGGACACATACTCCAGGGCCAGCCATAGGCTAGTACCAGGGAACTGGGCTCTCCAGCACTAGAATCACCGACTTTTTGAAAACCAATAGTGTAATATGAAGAGATCCCAGCAGTAAGGTCTCACTGGGTCAAACACATGCCAAGTCCACATTGTTTTGATGGAGATCTTTCACTGATTTATTCAACTAAGGCACTGGATGCTTATAAATGCTAGGCATTGTGGGAACAATACAGAACTTTTTCTATAGAGAGAGGCTACTATATGAAATGTGCTTTAAGCATCTTAAGCATACTGAAAAGTCCTCACAGCTATTCTAGGAAGGGGACATTATATAGAGGCCAGTTCTATGTTCATGACCACGACATTGCAGTATGTGCCATATGGTAGAAATGTGTATTCAGAAGGCTGCTAAGACCTTCAGAAGTAGCATTTGAAATAAAACTAGAAGGATAAGCATAGTGGAGTGTCATGGCAGATGCCTAGTCTCAGCTAGTTGGGAGGCTGAGGCAGGAGGATCACTTGAACCCTAGGAGTCTGAGGTTGCTGTGAGCTAGGCTGACACTATGGCACTCTAGCCTAAGGCAGCACAGTGAGACCGTCCCCCCAAAAGAAAACACAAGCAGGAATCTCCCAGCCACTTGTGGCCATCCCCACCCCACCAGGGGCAAGATTTTTTTCTGGAAGACCCAGACAGGAGCTAGCAAGACCAGAGATCCCTGGATTGGGCCCTTTCCCCTTTCCCACTTCTCCCAGAGGTCTTAGCATCATTGGGCAGCCTCTCCCTGGGTTTTACAGCCACAGGAGGCCCTCAGCTGAATCAGTAAACTACATGTTGTCATTTCTTTTTTTCCATTTATTGAAAGCAGCAGCCCCCAGAGTAAAACACTGGGGCTATTTTTAAATTCCATGTTTAAAAGTTTAATTTTCATCACCATGGGCACTCCATAGCTCTTTCCTGGGGTGGGGTGGGGTGAGGGGCTGACAGAACCATGGGGGGGTGGGGGGGTTCTGCAGGCACTCCATAGGGCACTCTTAGCTGGGGTGAGATGGGGTGAGGGGCTGACAGAGCCACGGGAAGTGGAGAGGGCTCTGCAGGCACTTGGAGAAGTCTGCAGGGGGCAGGCTGTTCCAGTGCAAGTTGTAGGATCTGGGGTCTTCCTCCAGGTTCTTCACCCCTTTGTCCCCTGGGAGTGACACAGACCAGAGTAACCAGCCAGAGGCCAAACCAATTACAGTGGAGACTGGACCAGGGCTATGCAATGAGATGGTTCATCATAGTAATTGACTGCTCATACCCCTATTATCCACTGTCCAGAGGAGGAGGGAAAAAAAGACCCATAAACTGTCCACTTGGGAAGGTTTCTCCTTTCCTCTTGGTCCAAAAGCCATTTAACACCTGTGGAAAGGGTGCGACTCTCTGATCCTAAAAGGGCATGTGCCACAACCTCCCTGGGAGGTTCTGTAGCAAGACAAGTCTTGGCTGGGCGTGTCTGCCCTCAGCCAAGGCCCCCTGTGGGGGGCTGGGTTTTCCTTAGAGCTTAAGTTCTCCTTCCACCCTCACCAGGCCTCCAGTCTCAAGCCTGGTGCTGCAGGGGACAAGGAAAGCCCAGACCTCTCCTCCCCTAGCCACAGATGCCCACAAGGATCCCTGCATACGTGCCACAACAGACTCCGTGGCCAGCCAGAGCCAGCCAGCTCTTCCCCCATCCCACTGCCGCCGCCACCACACACACACTTGCCCTCTGAAGACTCTATGGGCTGGCACACAGGTCCCACGTGGGATGGTGGAAACAGGAAGAAGCCACCGAAGTTGTGATCAATAAAGTTTTAAATGGGGCACGTAACTTCCCCTTTCATCCTTCCAGCAGCTCTCACTAGAGGCTGGGCTGAAACACCAATGGGCTCCACTGTGGGTGGGAGATACCTCCTCGAGGTCTGCTTCTATGGAAGGGAAGCTTGAAAGCCCCGGGACACACCAGCTCCCCCTACCCCCTCCTTACCCAAAGGCCTGGCTCGCGGCCCTCAGAGGGGCAACCGGTGCATGTGCTCCTGCATGTTCGACTTTCGAGGGGGCTTTGACCAGCTACACCAAGCAGGCCATATGTAGGGCCCAAACAAACCCTGGGCTCCAGCGTTGCAGACAGGCACCGTGGAACACTGTACTGACATGGCTGGGCTGACCACAGAGGCGAGGGCGTGCGGGGGTGGACGAGAGGGATGACAGGTCCGAGGCGCGCCAGCAGCGCCCGGGTGCGCGGGGCCAGGCAGCTCTATGCCCGCCCGCCTGCCGCCCGCGCTAAACGCTCCAACGTAGGCCTCCACTGCACTTGCCCCAGTTCCCTGCCGCCCCTGCACCTCTGTCCCCCAAACTCCCGGCGAGGACAGTGTCCATGCCCACTTTCCCGTGCACGCTGGAAGAGGAAGGGGCTCCCGCGCCAAATTCCCGCAGCTCGTGAGCCCCTCGCCGCACCTCCTGGGCCTGTCCTCAGTCACACCAGCAGGTCCCTGCGGACACCACGTTTCGCTCTGGCGGAGGAGGAGCAGCCGTATTCCTGAGCCGCCGCCGCCGCCGCCACGGGCCCGGCGGGTTGGGAGGGTTTTCCTGCCCGGGCCGCGCCCGGGTGGGCGGGGGCCGCGCGCGAGCTGCGTAGCTGCACAAACACTGCGCGGCTGCGCTGCACACGCCGCTGCGGGCGGAGGGTGCGGGGCCCAGGTGGGGGGGATTGCGGGAGGCCACCGCACGTCCACACGCACCAGCTCTTACGGCCGCCCAGGCCTCAAAGTTCGCACGCGGCGGTCCCCACGGCCTCCCGACCCCCGTTCCGGGCCGCGCC